ATAACTTAGGTGTGGTAAAGCTTAAGCTAATAGTGACCCAAGAGGTTTCCGGACTTTTTTTAGAGAATCAGTGAGAAGCATAAATCATTATTTCCATGTTTAAGCATTAATCATTGAAATGAACTGAATAGCACTTAGATGATAAAATGCCTGTGTTCATGAGAAGCTGAGTACCACACTGGAGAGGAAACCGCGGGACAGTAGGCGGAAGGAAACACATGATTTTTGGGGGGGCGAATGGTAGGATTAAAAATGGCTAATTTGTTTTTGATGTCTTTTGTTAAAATGAGTGGTTTTAATAGTTTTCGTACACACCTTGCAAATGTGCTTATAATGAGTTGGCACTTGGTCTTTTGAAGGTCATAAGCTTCGTTCGGCGTGATGGTCCGGACTGATATATTGCAGGTATTGACTTTGAGTGCAGAGGGCTAAATGCAAACACGCTTACACACACATAGGATATGATTAGAATAAGTCCCTGGGACATTCTGAATATTCTAAACCAATTCTGAATCACCAGAAGATCAGTAGAGAACAACATTAGATTATTAGAGCTAGGAAGAGAGGTGTTTTGGTTTTCTGTCTCTTACAGAGAAAGGAACAGACACCAGACGAGGTCACAGATATACGAGGATCCTTCGCAGCAGAGACAGACACAGTGACTGCCGAGACACCAACTGGGTTCCAGTGTCATGGCGTTTGGGCTCCGATTAGTCACCTCAAAAGGATGGATCCCATAAACACAGCAATAACCATGAAGGGGTTGGTGGAAATCCAGGAACACCAGACCAACGAGGTTCGAGAGGCTCTTGGGCTAGAGGGGGACACGTTCCTGTTCCTTTTTCTGGGGGACACAGTTGTGACCCGAGGATACACAGATCGTTGTTTGAAATCGGGGCAGAATAATCCCCTGATCTGTGCAACGACTGAAGGGTTGTCTAACCCCTGAGGTTGAAGAAAGAAGAGCAGAGGATCACCCAACTGGAAGACACTGGTGGCTGCAGCAATAAAATAAAGGCTAAAAGCTCCTCGGACAGAGGTTCTAGTCTGAGTACGTCTGAAGGGTATAAGGTTGCACCAAAATGAAGCTGTGGGAGAACTGGGGAGTGTCATCTGTACCTGCTATTGTTGTAATAATAGTTTTTCTTGCATCTGAACTGCGCAAACTCAGAGGTCATCTCACATATGGTTCGCCCAACAGGGGGACAAAGGGCCTCAGGGGTGAAGAAGAAATGAACCCGGCCACACTGGATTACAGGGTGTAGGTGAGCTCTTTATTCTAAAGAGCTCAACAGGGGGAGTGTGGGATTATAATATTATTTTATGCCATGTTAGACCCCTAATTAAAGATTGTGAATTATTATGTAGTTTTAGTTTGCATTATTCTCCTGAATTAGAAGAAGGTGATAACTATTGCATTTGTTAAACTGATTTGCATTACATTAGACTGCTGATTTATTGTGAATGAATGATATTGTTTTATGATGCATTATACTGCTGAGTTATAAGAAATACTGTTCGCAGAAAGTCATCGCCTTATTTGTCTGATTAGAAGAGAACAGAACATACTGGAGTTTTCTGCCCCATCTCAGCAGGAGCAGATAAACAGGGAGCCAAGGTCGTAGCTTAGGCGCCGTGTGAGAGAAAGCATGTGAATGTTTAGGCTTTTATGATAAGGTGGGGGCCACTAGAGGCTATAAGAGTTTGATCAATGCTCCACCATTTTGAGATCTGATGCTGTCTGCGTACGGTGTCCATCTCCCACGCGTGTGATCATTAAAATCATCGTTTGACTCAACCCGGCCGGACCAGTGTTGTTATTTGGTTTTTCCTCTTGTATCCATCCCCAATATTTGAATCTGTAACAATAGTTTTACCCTTTGTCATAGTACTGGGTGCGGTGACCCAGTGTTTGTGTTTTTCTGGTTTACGTTATATTCTCTGATTTGTCATTTTTCATGGTTTTGGTTCTCTCTATTGTTTTCTGCTTATGTTATATTTATAGTCCCTGGTCTTTAGGTTTCTGTCCCTGTGCCCTTCCTGTGCTCCATGTTCCCTCTGTTGTTTCAGTGTAAAGTCCGTGTCTTTGTGAATGTCTCTTGTTTCCTGTTTTACTTTGACCGTCTCGCGTCCTATGCTAGTGTTTTCAGTTTTGCTTCCTTCCCGTCTCGTCATGTATGATTACTCCCAGCTGTGCTCTCCTTCTGCTTCTCATTCCCTTGTTATTCCTCTGTGTATTTAAGCCCTGTGTTTTTCTCTGTCTGGTGTTACCCCATGTGCTGTGTGGTTCTTCTGTGAGCCTGGATTTCTTTGTCCTTAGTCTCTAGTTTCCCCGTGTTTAGTTCTTAGTTTCCAGCTTCCATGTTCAAGTTTTGGTTTTCACAAATTTATTTTATGAAGTGTTTTATCTCAGCGCAACAAAGCTGCCTTCCTTTGTTCATCCCGTCGTTCGAGTCCTGCGTTTGGATCCTCATCCTGCCTGCCACAGCAGTAAACATGACACCCTTGGACTTGTGTGCTTATGTGGCTTTGCTTAAATTTTTAATCGTCTCCTCCTTTTTTTTTTGCTCCCTTTAGGTGTTCTCATCTCACAGTCTGTTGCTTTGGATTTTTTCATTTTGAAAAACAAGCCATTTTAGCTCCTCTTGCTGTAAGGACAACTTTGTTCTGATTTTCTGCTTAGATTAAAACAGCGGATGGTTTGGATCACCATATTTACACCCAGGCTGTATGAAAGAAATCACTTATCTTTAGCATCATAATCTAAGAGTTGAAAAGTTGAGCATTTAGAGCAGTCTGAAGTCTGGGCTTTGCTTACAGGGATTACCTAGTCTTTCAAAGTAGCCCTGTGTAATGTGAGCACTCACCAATGTCACAGTATAATAACAGAAAATAAAGTAAAATAAAACAGGTCCACTTAAAGGGAAAATAAACATGAACTTGTTATAACTCTGCTCATTTTGTTTGTAACCTGGTTGTAGGTTTTTGTTTTTTATTGCTTCTTAAATGCTTGATTCGTCAGTTCAGTCCAACTTCAGCTTCGACCTTCAGACTTTTATCTGGTGATCTGTTGACCTCATCCACCTAACCCTTCCATTAAAAGTCACTACATCCAGCTGTCATCATGACAATAGTTAAAATAATAGTCTTTCTCAGACATGTTTATGTTTTCTTTATATATAACTTATATTTTATATAGTTAAAGGTTTCTGTTAGTTGTTAGTCATTGTTAAACTCATTTGGGTTTCTCTTAATATTAAAAATAACCAGTATCCAGTGTATATGCAGTACTCACCTCCCCAAGTGGCCTTATGAAGTCCTTTCCATATGATATAAGCAAAGAGGATTCCAGCCATTAAGAACTCGGAAATGGCATTGGCTATTGCAGAACCTCTGTAAAGATTATTTCAATGTGTCGTGTTGGTTATACAGTATGTGATGATGTCAGTTGATACCACTAAAGACGATATTAACGAAGTCATGTGCAATCCAATAAAACAAACTCACGCAACTCCAAGGTTTAACGGGAAGAGGACGATGTAGTTGATGAGTGCATTTAGAAGATTGACAACAAAGCCTGTGATGACCTGTGGCCATATAATGCCCTAAAACAGAAATGCAACAAGTTTATTTTAATTAGGAAATGGCGAAATGACAGGCCAGATAGACTGGGTAAAATAAGTATTGAACACGTCACCAATTTACTAAGTAAATATATTTGTAAAGCTGCTATTGCCATGAAATTCTCACTATATGTCAGCAACAACCCATCCAATCAACAAACGCAAAGAAATCAAACCATAGATGTCCATGCGTTCAGTTTTATGTAACAATGAGAAATGACACAGGGAAAAACTACTTAACACATGAAGAAAGGGAGGTTTAAAAAGGCATGGACAGTCATGACACCAGCTGAAATCAACCCTGTCACCTCTGGTTCAGTCCCAATTGATGGCTTATAAGTAGTATCTCATTTCCAAGGTGTCACACAAGAATCATCTCATGATGGGTAAAGCTAATGGACTCTCTCAAGCCCCTCCCAACCTTATTGTTGCAAATCATATTGATTGCACTGGTTACAGCAGAATTTCTGAACTACTGACGTTTTCGATGAGCACTGTTGGGGCCATAATCTGGAAGAGGAAAGAACAAAATTTTTACCATGAACAGGTGCTAGCCGCAGGATTTCAGACAGAGGAGTGAAAAGAATTGTCTAAGAGCCAAGCACCACTTGTGGAGAGCTACAGAAAGACCTTTAATCAACTGGTACAACTGTTTCAAATCAATAAGTAATGCACTCAACCACCGTGCCCTGTATGCATGCTTACCACATATTGCTGAAGAAACAGCATGTTGAAGCATGTTTAAAGTTTGCTGAACAACATTTAGACAACCCGCGTTCATACTTTTATCCTGTGTCAAAAGCTCACCTTTGAAAAAATTTTACTTAAAAAATTGGTGATGTGTTCAATACTTATTTTACCCACTGTACATGACATCATTACAGTTTTCCACCAACAGATAAAAGGATGATTAAATATCTGACTGATTTCCTGTAATCAAAAACAGCAGTTCGCAGTGTTTGTCAAGTAAAGTGAATCATAGTTTTATTGACATGAAAGGGCTCAAGGAGCTCTGATCTCCTTGCTATCTGTATGTGGACACCATCAATCATTAAACATTGTAGCCAGTAGGACTGGAGTCTCACTTACAGACACATATTGTATATTCAATCCACTCTATCATTTTGCGGATAAAAGAAGAACACAATCTGTATACCCTGCGATCCAAACTGTATTATTCAAAATAATCACGGAGATATTTACCTGGTTTTGCAGATATCTTGTTTCTAATGAGTACATGAATGCAGCCTGTGGCACACAGAAACACACACACACCAAAAAAATAAAAACAGAAAGAAAAGAACAACATAGTCTGAGTTGCAATTATTTGAAACATTTTATTCTAATGTGATTAGACTGGGACTCATCCTGTTTGGTAGTGACAGCTTGTTACATCATCAAATACACCTGTACAAGGGGGAAAATAAGTAGAGCTATGCTGTACTAGGTAAGTTAACCAACTAAGTAAGTGTCCAGCAGAGACTTTATAGACTCATTGATTTCTACTTAAAATAACGCGATTACTAGCTACTTAAAAAACAGGGTTGAATTTATCTAGCTGACTAGTTAGCCCACTTTGGAAAAGATTTTACTGTGGGGATATTTGATTTCTATGTCTGGGATTAGCAAGGCCTCCTTTTTGTAGGTGTATTTTTATTTGGAAGAGTGACTCTAAATCTATCTTAAAACATTAATAAAAGGCACATGCAAGGAACAATCAGGTCGGCCTCCAAGGAGATGCATGTCAGCCTCTTCCTCTCTCCCACTTAGATGACTTTCCACTTGGTTCAATTTTGTGGCTTTTGTGTTGCACACACATGCACACTTAGCCTTAGACATACTTACAGGAAGTGCGGGCATAAAGATCTTCACATACATCTGACACAACCTTGAAAGAGAGAGAGACTGATTTTATCCCATCAAAATGAACACACATTTTAAAATTCAAGAAAGCATTAGCGGATTGTGACGGCTGACCTTGCCACCTCTGGTTCTTGTCTGACAGCCAGCAGAATCGGCTCTGTGTTAATAAGGATGGCCCAGCAGGGGAAGCAGGCCAGGAGCAAAATGAGGATGGCCCGCTGCAGAATAACTCCAATTTTCAGCAGGTTATGGCTTCCAAAGGTCTAAAAGCACAGAACAGTTTAGTCTGCCATTGCTATTGTTAAGCACCGATGATAAATTATTTGTGATGGACCAAAGATTCGCACCTGAGAAACCAGAGTATCACATGCTGATGCCAAACCACTACCAATAGATATACCTGTAACATTAATAACCTGGAAATACATTAGAAAACATTGGTGGATTGGATGTCACTTTTCTATTGGTTTAATGACTTAATAAAAGGTGAGTGTTTGAATTTCACTTACTGCAATGGCCAGAGACACTCCTGCCAGCTCTGTCTTCCCCAGATGGCCACAAAATATTGTACTTACAAGGCTCAAGGAAAAATTCATGAGCTGGGATATCATCTGATAAGGAAATTCGAAATTAATTAAAAGTTGCCAGGGCAACAAAAACAGCTATTAAAAACTAGTAATTTACAGCGTGAGCGGCCAATTTGTTCTGTACGATATATACCATACCATACCATACCACCTTTATTTATAAAGCCCTTTAACATAAAACCAGAGTTCACAAAGTTCAAGGTTCAAGGTTCTTTATTTGTCACATGCATAGTTATACAAGTATAACACACAGTGAAATGTAGCTGTGTGCTGTAAAGTGCTGTACATGCTAATAGCATAAGTGAAGAAAATTAAAATGAGATAAGATAAAAATAAATAACTAAAAAACTAAAATAAATTGAAACATGTTAAAACAAATTGAGTCAACCCCTCTAATCAATGCCAAAGGCTTCAGCGAATAAATATGTTTTAAGAAGACTTTTAAATTCCGAGAGAGAAGAGGCCTGCCTAACATGCAAGGGTAGATCATTCCACAACTTTGGAGCAACTACAGCAAAAGCACGATCACCTTTAAATTTATACTTAAGGAGCTGCTGATTGGCGGACCTAAGGGAACGGGCAGGTGTATATGGTTGTAGTAGCTCCGAGAGGTAGGGGGGGCCCAGGCCATTAAGAGATTTAAAAGCAAATAAGAGAATTTTAAAAACAATCCTAAAATGTACAGGTAGCCAGTGGA